TTTTTTTTTTTTTTTTAAACTGGTGCCTTTGAATTCCAGGAAGGGATATAATAAATGCATTAGAATTTGACACAGCTTATACATACTATAAATTTTTCTGACCTGACTTGTTATATGCATTCACAGAATTAAAGTAGGCCTGCCTCAGGGTAAACAATGTGCTCTTTGGGATCACAAAAAAAGGGGTTCCCCAGGCCCATGTACAGTTATCAAAGGATTGACATCTACCCCAAATAGGTATGAATATTTATGTGCTTGTTTCTGGGGAAAGGATCCATAACATTCTCAGATACTTAAAGGTCCACAAATCAAGGGTCACTGTAAAGCCAAACTGTATCAATGTATTCTCAAGTGTATTCTCAAGCAGGCATTTTCAACCACTTGAGTGTAAACTGGGTTATAAGTTTTCAGGTAGTTAAGTTTAAATCAATCTGTTGTGGTTGCCATGTGCTGTACCTTCTATTTTCGACTCATAGCTACCCCATTTGACAGAGTAGAACTGCCTCATAGAGTTTTCTAGGCTGTAATCTTTATGGGAGCAAATCGCTCCCATGGAGCTACTGGGTGGGGTCAAACCACCAATCTTTCCATTAGCAGCTGAGTGCTTACCTGTTGCACCACCAGGGCTCCTTTTAAATCAAGCTATGCTTGAGCAAAGGTCACCTAGGAAGCACAGAGCTTTCAACCAGTCCCTACCCAATCAAGCCTGTGTGTTACACCCAAATTATTTCCAGAAACATACTAAGACTTGACGCATATCTTTTAAAAATTCATTTAACATAAATAGTCAATTCTCAGTTTTCATCTTATTTGATCCATTAGCAGCAGTGACATAGTTGATGTTCATTTCCTCCTCGTTGATGTAATTTCTTTACTTGGCTGCGGATACCATACTCTTGGCTTTCCACCTAACTCATTGGTTAATCCTTCTCAATTTCCTGTGTTCGTTTCTCCTGTCATCCTGATCTCTTTACCACTGCCGGCAGTCCTTGGACCTCTTTTCTCCTATTTATACTCCCTTTCTTTATGATCACATCTTGTCTTATAGCTTCCAATACAATATATATGTTGATGACCACTGTCTTAGCCATCTAGTGCTGCTATAACAGAAACACCACAAGCAGATGGCTTTAACAAAGAGAAATTTATTCTCCCACAGTTTAGAAGGCTAGAAGTCTGAATTTAGGGTGCCAGCTCCAGGGGAAGGCTTTCTTTCTCTGTCGGCTCTGGAGGAAGGTCCTTGTCATCAATCTTCCCTGGTTGAGGAGCTTCTCAGTGCAGGGACCCCAGATCCAAAGGACACACTATTCTCCTGGCTCTTATTTCTTGGCAGTATGAGGTCCCCCCGTCTCTCTGCTCACTTTTCTCTTTTATATCTCAAAAGAGATTGGCTCAAGACACAGTCCAATCTTGTACATTGAGTCTTGCCTCATTAACATAACTGCTGCTAATCACTAATCCCATCTCATCAACATCATAGAAATAGGATTTATAACACATAAGGAAATCCTTGGTGACAAAACAGTGGACAATCACAAAACACTGGAATGATGGCCCAGCCAAGTTGACAGATATTTTGGTGGACAAATTCAATCTATAACCACCACCCAACATATATCTCCAGCCCAGGTTCTTTCCTGATATCCAGACTCATAAGTCCTATTATCTCTTTAATGTCTCCACTTGGATATTTAATAGACATCTCAAACCTTAACAAAGGAGCCCTGGTAAACATGGAGATGTGCCACCCAGATCCCCCTTCAAGGAAGGACTTGCTCCTCAGCTGCAGAGTGTGTGATCAGCTGTCAGCTCCTTTAGGATTTGTCTCAGATACAAAGACTCACTTCACCCAAGGTCATGCCCTTCCCAAGCTAGTTGTAACCAGTGACGAAGCAAGGCGGGACATAAAGCCTTGCCATTTTAGCCCAACGCAGGACACCCTGATGGCAGTTCTTTCCTAAGAGCACCCTGCGATACTGACCGTGGCTCTGTCAGGCCTGCATTGCCATTCAACTTCTTCCTCTGCCTAATCCTGCTTCCTCACCCTTTCCTTCACAGGTATTGATCATAATAAACATCTTGCACCCCAAACTCCATCTTAGCATCTGTTGTTAGAGAGCCTAATCTGCAACAGCATCCAAAACTGAATTTCTAGTATTTACTGCCCAACCTTACTCTTCCTCTACCCTCCCCAACTGCTGATGGTTAAATGCATCCTTCTAATTTCTCAGGCTAAAAACTTTAGAATCATCCCGGACTCCTTTCTATTACATCTGTATCGCACCTATCAGGGAATCCTATTTGGTTTACCCTCAGAATATATCCAAAAATCAAACATTTCTTACCACTTCTATTTTCACCACCCTAGTCTGAGCTACCATCATATTCATATTTTACCCAAACTACTAAAATAGCCTCATACTAAATGGTCTTCCTGCTTCCACATTTGCCCTCTCCTCTATATTCTTAACACAACAGCCAGAGTGATCCTTTTAAACCACAAGTCAGATCATGTCACTTCTCTGCTAAAAGATCTCTGATCTTTCAAAAACAGATTCTCCTATATAACCATAACATGGTTATCAGGCCTAAGAAAATGAACCATAATTCCCTAATATCATCCAATCCTCAGTCCATATTCAAATTTCCCCGTTGACAAAATGTCTTTAAGAACATAGGATGCTCTTTTTATTCTTGTGCTTGTTGACTACCTGTACATCTTCTTTGAAGAAATGTCTATTCAAGTCCTTTGCCCATTTTTTAACTGAGCTGTTTGTCTATTTCTTGCTGAGTTGTAGGAGTTCTTTATATATTCTGGATAAACCCTGAATATATAAAGAACTGAATACATATAACCCATTGTCGGCAAGTAGATTCTGACTCATAGCGACCCTACAGGACAGGGTAGAATTGCCTCATCGGGTTTCCAAGCAGCGGCTGGTGAATTCAAACTGCTGACCTTTTGGTTAGCAGCCTAGTTCTTAACCACTGTACCACCAGTGCTCCTAAATACAATTATCTGAATAT